GACTGAAATTGAAAGCTCTTAGAATTCCATTTACGTATATGCAGAGCTCAAAATTAAGAATATATGGCTATGTGATGTAGGAGTGTATATTTGTATGCGTATGTATATATAGAGAGAGGAAAAGGTGATTATTGACTTGTAATTATCTAAATTCTCATCAATGATTTAATTCATATTTCACTGCAAACGTCGCTTGTCTCGGACCCTCGGTTAAGGAAGAAAGTTGAGATTAATTAAGAAAATTTAATGGGTAATTATATTCACAATTTTGCACCACTTTTTAATTATACTTAAGGTTATTAATTTTTGTTCACTTGTATCTCTAGAGGCTTTGCATGTCATTTTGAGGACTTAAGGTTGTTCATTGTAGTGCTTATATCCCTAACAGCTTTGCATGTCATTTTCATCTACGAATTTTTCATTAGTTAACATTTTTTGTATTTGATACAATTTAAGTTCGTTGAATGGTGTAAAACAACTTAATTTGTCATTATATTTTTAAAAATAAATAAGTGAAAGTAATAAAAAATATTTTTCTCTCATTTCAAAGTACGAAAACAAAATATTTTAATATAAACCATTGTCAATGACGAAGTGTACTAATAATGGAAGGTTAAAAATAAGAATTCGATAAGAAAAAAGTTAAGAAAATAATTGCTACAATGAACAAAAATTGAAGAGTTTAACTGCGGTTAAAATGTAGTGTATCAAATAAAAATTATGGTGACAATATAATCACCAAGATTTAATCCATTTGTGATGTGAAATGCCCAGAATACCCTCCATTTCTCTCCATTTTTATTTTTTTAAAAATTCTTTTTTTTTTTTTCAATTTCAAAATATTATGGAGAATATTTGATATCTTGTAATGGACGAAATTCGTAATTAAAGTATATGATAGAGGTTATTAAGTCCTCGCTTGATTTTACTAAAAATTAAATTTTTAGTAGATTTTAATAAAAATTGATGAAATATATGATTAAAAAATGATAAAAATTGTGGGTTCCATGGTTAAAATTAAGAGCAGTGTTATTTAGCACAACTAGTGTTTAACATCAGTTTAAATATCAGCACTTAAATGATGGATTCAATTAAATGAATTATTTAATTGAAGATTTAATTGAACACGTCACATAATGCTAGGGATGGCAAAAAAATTCTCCAACTCGGGCTCAGCTCGGAAAAAGCCCGAGTCGGGCCGAGCCCCATTTTGGGGCATCGGCTCGAGCCAGGGCCGGTCCGTGTTATAGAAAAAAATTAAAAAAAAAAAAACAACTTTCAGAAGGAAAAAAGAAAAACTTTCTGCTACCCGCAATAGGCAACTGAATTTCAGCTGGCAAACAGCTGCCTGCAAACGCGGGCAGCTATGTGTATGTGAGGCAGCAGTCACCAAAAAAAAAAACATTTAAAAAAATAAAAATAAAAATCAAGCCGGTCGGGCCGAACCTAATTTTTTTGGTCGGGCTTTACTCTGCTCGGCTCGGGCCCAAAAAGCTCGCTCAAAAAAAAGCTCGAGTCGAGTCCGATCTTTTTTTTTCTGCTCGACTCGTTAACATAGCTACATAATGCCACATAGACGGGTGCTTTAATACCGGTGGTGCTGGATATCATTATTCTAAAATTAATTGTTAATTTTAACTTAAATTTTTATTAACTTTTTTAACTAAAATCAAATAGGAATTTTTTGCTTATTTCTTACCTCTTTCAACGGCATTAAATGTAACACATGTTTAAGCCACATTAAAATTTTCAATTTCATTCTTCTACTCATTTTCAATACACATTCTTCAATAAAATAATATATTACATCATATCAATAACTTTTCTTTCGTTTTCAAACACAAATTCTACATCGATCTAATATTCCAAAATATATTCTTCCACAATAACGTGACTCAAACACACCCGTAAAATGTAATACTACTAGAAAGTAAATAGTTTATTTTGTAGAAGCAAGAATGCAAGACCAAACATTCTCTTGCCAAACACATTAATAAGATGTAATCAATCAATACTGACACACATTAATGAGTGACAAGTGAATGTAAGTGACAATTATCGACCAAGCTGAAAGTATTATGAATTTTCTCAATATACTTATTTTTTGAAAGTGTCAATTGGTTACATACGGTGATTATTGAAAAGTGAAGGTGAGTGACACTAACTAACTTACAAGTTAATGAAATTGAAAATTAATATGATTTTTTACAATACAATACATTAATTTTTTGTGGAGTGTCGACAAGTGATTAACATTAAATTAATGACAACTATACAATGCACTTATCTTTTTGAATGTTAACAATACAATATTTATTGCTATTAAATTAAATCGTATAGAAATAATATAAATGGTGTCCAACTCCGACATGACCTTACAAAACATGGCACCAAGATTAAATTATTGCTTTTGTCATTAACCATGGTTAATGGTGCTTAATGCCAACCTTTGTACACTAACTTACTCAGCAAGTTGCCAAAATAAACAAGTCAAAAAGTTAAACCACTACAATTTAAATTCATTAGTTAACCATAGTCAATAGCCGACATTCGAGTTAAACTCTTAGTGCAGGTCTGCTTAGTAACTTTGTTTGGTTTTAACAATTTAATCATTAATTAACTTGAATGGATGAAAAGTAAGTTCCAAATTCTTTATTTTTTGGTCAAAATACAATAGGCTAGCAAGTGGTATAAATCCCCGTCCCCATCCAATCACAAAGAACAATACTATTTAGATTCACGGGTGCTCAACATCAGTCTATGTAACAATAGAATTATTGTCATAGTAGATTTATATTAAACATTAGTGTAGCGAAATAGCTTTACTCAATTACAAAATACAATTTTACCTTTAAGGAGTCAAAAGTGATTTGTTACGTTGATTTTCCTTCTTCCTCACAAATTATAAATGAAACAAACATCGACTATTGTCAAGTCATTGGACGATATAGTGACTAGAGATTTAACCTAGACGGTCAAGTTATATATTTATATAGAGGATAAAATGAAAAGAAGAATAATAATATGTCACTGGTATACGTGAGTTTTTTATATCAATAGCAAGAATTTCATATGAAAAGGCATACTTCTATAACGAATGATCTCGTATATCATAAGTTGGTATCGTAGGTGGTCAAAGATTAGAAGAGGACAATGTGCTTTTAACTTATTGTTTGATTAATCTTGTTCTCCGTTTCATGACTTCTTGTTGAATTGTTCCTATTTTACGATCACTTGTCAAATTGTAAATATTTGAACAAGATTGTTAATTAGAATGTAATGGCATATTTGATATCCTTTTATTTCCATGGACCATTTTCCCCAAATTATAGCGTGTGATGGCTAATATTTTCCCACCCAAATGTTTTCTACCCAACCCCTTCACGAGCCCAAGTTGACGGTAATTGAGGAAATCATTTTCCCACCATGATTTCCACCTGCTGCTTCATATACATTTTTTTTATTTTTTATTTTATTTTTTAGTGATGGAAACAAATTTCATAACCAAATGTAAAAAAAAAAAAAATTCACTTTCATTGACAATTTTGATGCAAATGAAAGCCAAACGAATACTAAATTTTGATGAAAAATTGATTTTTTAGGAAATATATATATATTTTTTACTTTTTTGTAATGGAAACAAATTTTATAACAAAGCGTGAAAAAAATTATCACTTTAGTGGACAATTTTGATGCAAACGAAGGCCAAACGAAAACAAAATTTAAAAATTTTTCGAGTGAAAAATTATACCAATCAAACACACTTAATTAACAATTCCCTAAAAAACAATTCCAGACAATTACTTTCCCTAAAATTCATTTTCTTTCCATCCATTTTCCATCATTGCAATCAAACGGACCCTAATAATGTTATAAGAAACTTGTATGACTTAGTGCTATTTCAATGTGGCACCAATAAATATTCCACCAATTCACAAAACCTTAATCCATAGCCGGCCAATTGAAATTATTTCCTTAGTGCAAGTTTGCCTTGTATCTTTTCTTGGTTTTAACAATTTGATTTTTTATTAACTTAAAATGGATAAAAGTTGAAGTCTAAAATCTTGCTTTTCTATCTAGTGGAGGTATAATGGGCTAAAAAATCCTTATCCAATTGTGAAATAAAAATAGATGCAAATTCTTGACCACTTTCTATTTGTTGCTTACAATCATTTTGACTTTGAAATTTCTCT